GCTCGTCTGCCAATAACTTCCACATCTTAAAGGGTGGTGACAATAGCTGCCATATTCCTTCTTCTGCAATACAGTGGCTACCGCTTATGGTTTTTTTAAAAGTAGATTTATTTTCCTCAGTAACATGGAAAAACTGTGGGGAAAAAAAAAAAGAAAATGAAACTCAATATATACTTGATCAAAGGCTATCAGAGAATCTGATTTTAAAAGACTTTCTAAAAAAGAAAGAAAAAAAAGAACAATCCTAAAAGATGCAGAGAGACAGAAGTCAGTAGATTATTTTTTTTTTAAAATTAATTTTACTGGTTTCATTAACCCCTCTCTTCTAGCACTTATGTTAATCAGTCACTGAATCCTAATTGTATGAGGTCAGAAAGGTCAAATACACCCAGCTTTTAACTTCAAAGTGGGTATAATCACAAAGGCTTGTGAGGAAGGACTAGATGGACAATCAGTGAATCCTGAACTTGAGCCTAAGGCTGCAGCAGAGAGTGCCCTGGCTGCTCCAACTGCCCCATTTACATTCACAGCAGACAAACACATCCCAGGAGACTCGGAAACCAAGTCTCTACAAAATATGTTTAGAAACCTTACATATGATCTAAATGAGTGTCTAACAAACTGTTAAAGTTTCATATAAATAATATTTAATTCTTATAAACATTCTCCTTTAATTCTGCCTCAACAAAGAAAAAACAAAGCACATTTGTTCCAATGAGTTTACATTCAAGTAATTGCTATTTCTATTACAACTTAAAAAGCAACCACAACATCCATTAGAGACTCTTAAATTAACCTTTAATATCAGTTATTTCCTAAGCCATATATTAATTGTTTAATCCACTCTGGCAATTGATTAAATGCCTTATCTTCTATTAGAAAAAAATCCTAAAACAGGAAAATATATTCATATTTAAACAAAAGAAATGTAATAAAGAGAGTGCTATAAAAAGCTTACTCTAGCTAATTTAATGCACAGAACCAAAGTACTGGAAGCAGAGGTTTCCTTACATTCCCCACTTTTTGGTTGCTGGCTGCCTGGCTTATGAACATGAAAAAAGATTTGAAAAGCTAACAAACACACAAAGTTCTGAGGCTTTCAACAATTCCTAAAAATATTTGCCAGAATGTGATGAGTTTACAAGGTACATAATTTAACAGTGAATTGTTTATTCACTCACAGGAGAATGACATAAATCAACTCATCTCAAAAATGACAAATAAACCCAACTTCTCACTCAAACTCACTCAGAAAAACAGAAGCAAAGGCACATGCACAATAAATTACAAACATTATCTCAGATCTTTGATCAGTTAATGCTTTGCATAACATGAACTAAAGACAAATTTGAGGAACAGCTTTCTGCTGAGTAATAAAACAATACAAGAAGAAAGCAAAAAACCCAACTTCTCTTAAAAAAAAAAAAGAAGACAAACCTGAAATGGGTCAAGGCAGTCAGAAGACCTTTGAGTCAGAACATATATAACAACTGTTATGTACAGCACAGACACTGCAGCATTGCACTTGGACATGTCCTAGCTTGCACACTGAAACAGAAATGTTGGAATACACTCATCATGCTGCTTTTAGAAGAACTGGCTAACTTTACACAACAGTTATTCAAGGCCTTAATATAAACCTAGCCAATACATTTTGTTGACAAATATATGCTAGGTTGTATATCCAGATATAACCAAGAAGCTAGAAGCAACTGAATGCTAGTGGATTTCTTGCAAGTAAGCCTGAATTCCCATCTCTAAGAACTCTGTCACGTAAGTTATTCTTGATTATCTGCAAAGTTACCATTAGGAAACTTTGCTCACACTATTTTTTTCATGTTTACTGTTTCATCAAGCTATTCAGTCACTTTCTTGCCTAGGTATTTCTCTTGCTTCGGTATTTCTCTTGCTTCATCAAAATGAAAAGCTGAACTGGAATGATGGCATTTAAATCAGTGCAAGGATTAATAACCACCTGCTAGACCTTTCATTCCCCAACATTCATCAGGAACTTCTACCCTTAAAACGAAGATGGGTGGTAGAAGGCCAAGATTAAGGCATATTTGTATCAGCCTTGGGATTTCTGCAAGTTCACCTGCTACATTTGAGGAGACATCCAAGTATACAGGTAGCTGGAGTGAGTGTATGTCAACCATCATAAGGGAGATACAGGCATAGCAGAAAATTGTAACATGACAAGTGTATTTGTCTCTGTGACTCCCAGA